GTCGAGTGGACTAGGTCCCAGTAATCTCTATATTCTCAATCGTAATCAATGCAAAGAGGAGAATCCCGAGACTGGACTGAGATCACCCTCCTCGGTGCTGGGGGAAGAAGGAAGTAACTAATGACCCGTCCAGCGTTTGGTTGGAATTTTGCACGTATGGCCGGTACCTACATTATTATCTCACGGGTGTCACTGAGGCAGGATTTTGGCGCCTGCATTCCAATCCGTAAAATGGTGAAGGTCAAGGAAAGCGTGTTTTTTGTTACGTAAAGAGGTATCCTAAAACCTTTTATCGACCTTTATTCCAGACACCCAACTGTGTTTAACTTCTCTGTCTGGGTGCAAAACAAGTTGGCCTATTATAGGTTGGTCCAGATAGGGATGAAAATATTAAAGCTTTGAAGCTCGGCTATATAATCGATTGTTTCGTCGAATATATGATTGTTTCCTGACCGAATAGCTTTTCGGATCAACTCATGTGAACTTTAATCCAAAACCGGAGATACTTTGGGACCCCGGTACATAAGTGTTTCGTCACAATAGAATAGATGTGCGTATCCTCACGAGGATTGAGCGCGATTTTGTAAAATGCATCCTCAAAAAAGAATTTTCAATAAGTTGGTTTCCGGCGACTCTGGCATCGAGTATGATTTCCGCTATCTTGTGATTCTCACTTGATTCTCACTGCGCCGGCAACGTATACCTAAGGCAGTCTAAGAAGCACGTACTCAAATCTTCGCCAGTCATGCCACTAACCAAAAGTCTCGTCCGGCACTTTGAGTAGGCCCTTTTTATTTTTTTTTTTAGTGTCTTGTAAAGGGTGTTGCTCGGGTGATTTAGTGTCTTTTTTTCCTTATCGGATCGGTCTTTACATAGAGGATCAGTTTATCAATACCTGTCACCCGTCAATCGTCTATGTGGCGTACTAGTGTTCAAACACGTCTGGGTGCTATTACTGCAACATATACGGCAATTTCTCTCTCTCGTTTGTTAATTTTATGCATTTAACGTAATAGTTCCTCCCGGTTAATTTCGTGCGACGTTTGATAATCAGGTCTCGTAATAAAGGTCGTGAATTTGTGAAAGTTATTGTCGGGTAATGGCGGCAGAGTTCAGGGGCATAGCTATCGTACCTTACTTTTCACTTTCTGGTTTCAATTTGGCGGTTGCCTTTTCGGGTTACCAGGTCTTGGTTAACAATGACGACGCGGGTCAAATCACGACCTCTCCTCCCCTTATTATTGTCCCCTTTAAACCGAGACCCTCAACTGGGTCATTCTTCTTCGCCGATTGTCCGTACCCTCTTTATATGAATTTGTAGTTTACGAAAGGAAAGGGACGCCACACAGCGAGATGGCTGCTGGCGCTTTTTCTCACACAATACGCGACGTTAGTGTCACATCCAGCCTCTAACGGCTGATATTTTCTCGGGCAGCCGCCGATGTCATTCCAGTAATAATTGTAACCGAACGTGAAGTAAACCCTTTACGTAAACGTACTAAATCCTAAATGTTAATTGTTTCACGATGTCACCCTATACTTTGCAACACTTACTTTGGCTTTACATTAGACAACCTCTCCTAGACCGTGGTTCTTCGGTAACAGGGGTCAACCGTAGTCACCACCTGCGGGCAGGATCCGAGACTGTGGTCGTATTGACCGGAACTCCCACGTCGACTAGGACGTCAGGCTCAACGATTTCCTCTAACTCCCATACGTACGTTATTAACGTTATCCGGACTCGTACTTTTTGGAAAGACAAATTATAAATGTCTTCTTAATGTTACACGTTGACAAGTTGGGTGGAAGGGTTTTTTACACAATGTTTAATATATATCCATAGTAGAAGGGGGTGTCCTCTTCTAGTTATACTCCTCCTCCACGCGCTCGAACCGCTCGTAGGTGCTAGTGTGTCGAGAAGGAGAAGTGGGGGAGCGATTCGAGAGGGAGAACAGGTCGACGCTGGGAGGAGGGTCGACGAGAGGGAGAGAGGTCCACATGGAGGAGATAGGATTCCCAGAAGGAGAGGGACCAGAAGGAGAAGGGTAGGCCGGGAGAAACACGTGGGGGACGGAGAGGAGAGGGGAGGACGACGACCACGGTCAAGTTGGATCACCTCTTCTTTATACTCCTACCTTTACTTCCCAAAATTTTTCCGTTTTTTTCCAGGAATTTTCGCTTTCTTCGCGGATAATGTTGAGTTCTGTCTGTATAATGTCAAGAATTTATCCTTTTTACCTTTCTTTTGTATATTTACTTTATTTACAATAGTTGATCTATCTTGTTTACACACAACTGACTAAACATCGGGTCCACAAATGGATTTTTACACATAAGTGTTCACTAGGGAGGTTACAGGGTCAGGTGAGACCGAGGGTGGGTGCGTAGGTTAAGTAATAGTACAAAGTAGCGGTAGTGAGTAGCACCAGTTAGGTCAGTAGTAGTAGTTAGCAGTAGACGACAGCCTTACATAGGAGGGCGAACGTCTCCAAACACCTCTTATCCGTGTATGTCATCTACTGACATCGAACGGGATGAGACCGACTCCCCGGCATAAAGCGGCACGTCCTGTACTTTTGTCTGCAAAGTAGACGGTTTAAGGGAGACGACGGTATTGTAAAGCACATAAAAAACACACCCGAGGATTTTATATGACTACCTTTTGTCATTGTTATTAGTTTTTACCTAAGTTGTTTATCGTTCCTCCGCAGTTATTTCGCGTTTACTGCTACAACACTAAATCGCCGTATTCCTTGGATTCGCATTAGACGCATTAGTGAATGTACAATATCGAAATTGACACCGAGGGCCAACACCGTAACTCATCCCACAGTTCTGGTGCAGAAGCGTCCCTATCGGTGACAGTGGGTCGTTACTGGGGCTTGCACCATGTCACCCACGCGA